TTCAACATATTTTGCCAGACCCTTTATTTGAGAATATATGGTTAGGATGAGAGGTGAGGGACGGGGAGACAAAAAGAGAATTCAGAATATATTAACACAAATCAAGAAAAGGGATATTGGTATGAAAAGAAGTCTGCTAAACCAAGAAACAGTTGGGCCCAAGAAATTACATAATGTAGCATCTTTAAAAATGTCACAAATACATAAAACAGAAAAATTAAGACGCATCAAGTGCGTATAGTGGTTAGGAAAGAGAAGGTAAACTAGAGATCTAAACCAGAACATTGGACCAAAAAGAGAAATTAACAATTTGTTTGAGAGAATGGAAATGACAGGTTTAAGGTACATGAAAAAAAGTCAGGTAAAGATCTGGCAATAAAGGAAGGGAAAGCTTCTTTTTCCAACAATAACTTGGAAACAAAACGGGAGTTACACAACCAAGATTATCAGTTCCAATACCGTTACAATGTAAGAAACCTTTTCCAAAAGCTTAATTTTAAAAATTAAATTATCATAAAAAGATATTTCAAGTGTACAAAATTCTCTAGGAAGGAAAAAAGGGCACGTTATAGTTATCATAAAAAACTTATGTCAAGTCTAAAACATGAATATTGTAAACTATAATTCAGTGATAGTCCAATGTTGGCATCATTCATTAAAACATATGTTAAGGTTGAAGCCAAACAAAACCCATGAACATACATTTTCCACAAGCTCCAAAGCAAGGTCTTTTGCTGTATCACCTTCAGGATAATAAACTGACCCAATCAAATTGCTGAATTTGTCAACACCTTCAAGAACAATACGTACCTACAAAATCAACCTTGAATTAGCCTATTATTCAAAATGAATGAAGACAAGTCATCTTCAAGTATCCATACACTCACTTCTATATTCAAACAGCGAACTTCTGTAAAATATTTTGCTTCTGGTCCAAAGGGATCAGGGGAAACTTCAGCAGAAGCTGTCGATGAGGCAGCAAGCCTCTGTGCAGATGTTAAGGCAGCCCGTGGCTCAGCTGAAGCATCTCCATTTTGTTCATCAGAAGTAAAATCTGTTTCAACAACAGTTTCGGCAGCAGCCCTTCTACCCATTGATGGGGACTGAATAAATAGGGTAAAGATGTTCAAAAGAAAAACTCATATGAAAACCAAAAAAAAAATTTAAAAAAAGGTTCATGAATTAGATCTTGTACAGTTGTACCTGGATACCAGCAACAAAGACTTGCACAAACTGAAAATCTGGAAGTAAATAGACTCGAATAGTACTACCATCGCGAACCTGCTCAACAACACCTTGCATTGGACTGCCCTTATTTGCAGCTAGAAGACCCATGGCATCCAAGTTACTTGGGTCACCAATGGCAGATGGAGGTAAATTGCGTATAGAAGCCTCGGCAGCACCAGGCACCTACATCCACAAATACAAAGACAGTGGTCATTTAAAAACTACTCTTTGCTAGACCAGTTAGTCAAATATATAATGGACTCTCACAATGGGGAAAAAGATTACCTTGCTCCATCGGCCTAGACCTTCTTGTTTGGCTTGTTCTTCAAGGCGTAACAATTCAGAAAGAAAAGGACTTGATTCCCCTTTCTGCTGTCCTTGCTCCCTAACCTGTACATGCCAGGCTCAGTCAGACTTGAGTAATAAAAATGAAGGGAAAGTGACCTTTTCCAAGTATTTTTACAAACAGGAAAGCAAATTACCTTTGCCCAGCCTGCAGAGACAACAAGCATTGCCACATTTTTGTCACCACCAAGGTAAACAGACCCAAATTCTCGGCCTATGCTTGGAACTGTGTATTCAACTCTAAAAGTGACTTCCTGAGAACAGAATAAATTAATTAGATCCACAAAAATTTCTAAACAACGAAATGTTATCTACATCAAGTAAAAACGATGCACAAATTAATTGAAGAGACACAGACTTTTCCAATGCAGAGCTTCCTCAAATACTCTCTGCTGTCCCAGGCAAATGGCTCATCAACACCTCCTCTACGGGCCTATAATTTAGACAAAAAGGAAAAGCAAAGAAAACGTCAGCCGGAAGTTTTCCTCAAAAGACATGCACCAGAAATTGTAATCTTAGACCTTGGCAATTTTACAGTCAAAACACATAACCCAGTAAAAACTCTCAGAGCAACTCTCATCCAAAAAAATCATTATCCAAACAAAAACCAAATTAGCCAGCAAGTCAAACAAACATGCAAATCATCAAATTTAATAGCGAACCAAGCCAGAAGCAAACTTGCACTCGAATGAGCTTTACCAGTCTAGGAGCAATGAGAGATGCCAGGGTAATGGTTTTCTCAGGGGGAGGTCCAGGCCTGTTAGTGGTCAAGGCCGTTACCACCAAGCTATCACCCGATGGAACTGCTTTGACTCTCCCTTTGTACCAACCCGTGCCACCAGCTGCTGATGTCGCCATTGTCAACAGCTAAGATCTACATCAAAAGTCAATAAAAACTCACTTACTACATCAGTATTTAAATAAACAAACAGAAACACTTGCAACTTCAAAATAACACAATTCAAGCAAAAATCTTCCAGATCTGTAACATCGGATTAATAAATTCATCAAAACGGTAGAAAATTCATAGCTTAACATACTACACGCAACACAAAAACGTCAAAATTTTAATAACAGATTCGATTCAGAAACTCGATCTGTTAATTTTCCAAACAAAAGCTACGAAAAAACAACAAAAATAATATCAGTGCATGCAAAATCAGATTATAGCAATGCAAACGAAAGAGATCTAATATATAACAAAAAATATATGGAAAATTATCGGCACTGATGTTTTACCTGGATCACCTGAGGAAAACCGAAGCCTTATTGGTCTATCACAAAAACTGATAGAAAGATCTTAATTCAGCTCCGTTTATTATTTTCTCAGTGTTATTTAGAGAAAATAAATAAATATTTAAAAAAACACACACACACAAGAGAAGATACAGGATAGAGACGGCGATCAGCGAGATATAGGAGATCGATATGTAAACAGAGAGGTAGGCGATGTGGACGATGACTATTTATATACCATCCTTTTTAGGGAAAATTACATGGACTGCCACGGAATATACTTGAATTTGACCAAAGTGAAAGTGAATCGGGGAGGTCTTATACGGTTAAAGAAAGATATATTATCAGTTTTATTATTATTTTTTTAATATAATCGATAAAAAGTTAATGAAAATATTATTATTTTTATTGATTTTGTTATTATTGGACGTTTTACAGGATTTAGTAATTATTCAGTAGAAAAAATAATGTTTTAGGTGACGCTTTACCAGATATATTATCAAACTCGGTAAAACGTTCAATAATATTTTAGGTATAAATAATAATATTTATGGTAATTGTTTTATCAATTTTATTAAAAAAATAACAAAATCAATAATATATTTCTTTAACTGTATATTAATACTGATGTAAAATATAATTTTTTGAGTTAATCTACCTTTGGGGTTTTAGATATGTGAACAGATTTCGGGAAATCATAAATTTTCTTATTTTTATCACAATGAAATGCTTCTTTAAATAACTTCTAATTCTACAGTGAAATAAGTTTTAAATTTAACTTTCTTTTACAATTTTTTTAACTTTTAAATTGTATTTAAACAACTCCTTTAACTGAAATTAATATTTATTTAAATACAACTTTTATTGTATAAAAAATAAGACGTTCTAATAATAACAATTTGATTTCATTAAATAAAAATAAAGGAAGGAATTACAATGCATCTAATTATATAAAGGAAAATGAGGACAATAGTCGTTAAAAAATCATAGAAAAATAAATATATCAAATCTAAATATGTGAAGAGAAATGAAACATTTCCTTGAAAATGGCGAGCAACATTAAAAGGCATAGTAATTTTTATAAAAAATCATTGTCTATGTCGATTAAGACGTTTTACGAAGTGATAAACGAGGGATAAACGAATCAAACTATTTAATAAGCTGTTTCACTACACAATTTTGATTACATCGACAAATAACGTTTTACCAAATAGAGGATCTGACAATACTTAACATAAGACAAAACAATTAGAAAATAAATGACCGTAAATATATGCGAAAAATATATCAAAAGTCACAATAATTGTGTCATAAGAACATAGAAAAACATATAACATGAACATATATTCTTATTTAAAATTGAAAAAAAAACTAAAAAAGTAAATGATATAGTATGAAAAACAAAAGAATTAATAATCATCAGCGGTCGGTAATCAATATTAAGATTGTTGTCATCATCGATTAAACAAAAATTAAAGAAAAAAATAAAAATTAAAGAGAGAAAATAATATTAAAAATAATTAAATAATCATATAATAATTTAGCTAATCATTTATCCTTATTACTTACTATCTAAAATTCAGCAAAACCGTAATCAAAATAATAAAATCATGAGAAATTCAAACGGATATGATAAATATTCTGATTTTACTAAATTGACTACACCAAACAAGTAAAAGACAGCATCTTAGAAATCAACCATCTTTGCTACTTGTCCCTAAAGAAAGTGCAAAAGGCCCACAACACTTGATTGAGGAGTCTCATTGAAGTTTGTCTCTTAAGGGAGGTGGATAAAAAGTCTGCACCACTTTTATGCCCAAAAGTTGTTGTTTTCCATGTGTACACCGTTTCCCTGCTCATGGAAAATGTTAGATTAATAGATCATCCCAATTCTTTTTTTCCCGGTACAACATAAACAGATAAGATGAAATAATTGATTTTCAATGAAGTTTTTTCAGGTCAACTACGACATTAGAGTAGGGTTTGATGAGGTAAACATGGAGATGCTTTGTCAAAAGAACTGATGAATAAATTAAAAGTTATCATTTGACTAAACAAGGTCAAACTAATATGTTTGGCTTGCATGTATCAACTCATAATCGCTTGTTCACATGGAGGATCATTTGAAAATAAGTTATAACCCCTTCTTCCACCGAGACCCTTTGTTATTCATCATCTTTGATCGTACCGAAATGGATACTAGGTTGTTCGAGTCTGCTAGAACCGATAACGTTGATGATTTAAACAAGTTACTGGGAGAAAACCCTATGATCCTGCACACCATCTCACTTTATGCAGGTGAAAATCCCTTACATATTGCTTCAGCTGTAAGGCATGCCAGTTATGTTCGAGAGGTTTCGAGTTTAAGGCCCGAGTATGCCGAAGAATTAAACATAAATGGTTTTAGCCCTCTGCACATGGTGGCTACCGACAGGCATATCGAGGTTGTAAGAGAGCTTTTGAATGTTGACTGGAAATTATGCTGCGTAGAAGGAAGAGATCACCATACCACTCTTCATTTTGTAGCAATGAAAATGAGGGTTGATGTGATCGGCGAAATGCTTTCGTGTTGTGTCGAGTGTATCGAAGGGGTAACAGTTAGGAAGGAAATCGGTTTGCACCTTGCCGTCAAGAACAACTAATTTGGGCCATTAAAGTTATGGTTCAATGGATTCTAGAGAGGAAGAAATAATACCTCTTAAATCTCAATGTTGAGCAAGGCAATACTATTATGCACCTAGCAACTTGGAAGAAACAACGACAAACAAGTATATTTCATTATCTCTTGCTGAAAATTTGGTTCTTTACTGATTGATTAAGGCCATATAAAATTTATGGAGTTGGTTGACCCTGATTAGAGGTAACAATGACTTAATGAGTTGATCAAATGATATTTCTATATTGTTTCATATGATAGAGCTATTACTAGGCTGTGGAACAACTAGTTCAGACTTGTTGGAAATAAATGCACCAAATCAATGTGATCTTACTGCCATGGACGTCCTACAGATGTTTCCTAGTGAAGCCGGTGATCAAGAAATCACAGAGGCGCTTCAACGTGCCGAAGCTTTGAGAGCTAGAGATCTTTCGATCTCTCCATTTCCTTCATATGCATCTAGTGATGGAGTTATAAACCAACTCGGAACTTGCCGGAGATGTCGTCGGCTAACCGATAACGTGGTGGAGTACTTCAAGTTTAAGAAAGGCCGAGACTCTCCCAACGAAGCACGCAGTGCCTTGTTAGTGATTGTTGTTTTGGTGGCCACTGCCACTTTCCAAGTCGGACTCAACCCTCTCGGCGGTACTTGGCAAGATGATAATATCTATTTGTTGGGAAATTAAACAAGTAATTTCCCTATAACCAGAATAGTGAGAATGCGAAATAAAATTAGAAAAATAATACCTGAAATTGATAACGGAGTTCGGCCAATTGTGCCTACGTCTCCAGACTGCTACATATCTTTTACTAAAGAGAGAAAATTTACAGGTGTTTACAAAACACTCACAACTCACAAGAAAACTCTCTAAACTCTTTAGTATTGGGAGAAAGAAATGATTTGGGATGATTTTGAAGCTAAATAGGTTTGGGTATTTATAGTTGAAGCTTAAGGACTAATCTTGTAAATACCTTAAAGTATATGAACCAAATTTGGTAATTTTCCCTTACTAATTTTCCACCATTTCAATTGCCAACTTTCAACCAACTTGCTGCTAACTTTGAACCACCAAATTCATGGTGGTTGCCGCAAAATATGACAATTGAAAGCTGTAAATTATTGACTTTTCAACAATCTCCCACTTGAAGACTGATTTTAATCTGTCTTCACACCTCGATCAATGCAACAACATTTCTGGTATTGTTACTCTAGCATGCCAACTGAAGCTGAACACAACTTCAGTTTGTCCATAGTCGCCGTCTTTGTTGACATAAGTGAGTCCATCTCATCTTTCATGAAAGACTCCCACTTGACTGGATCATCCACCTGCATTGCTTCATCATAGCACTTTGGTTCACCATTGTCAGTCAGCAACAAGTAGTACAAAGAAGGCGAATAACGCTGGGTTGGTTTAGGAATTCTGGAGGAGCGTCTCAGTTCAGATGTGACTGGTTCTTTTTTAACTGCTTCAGGACTGATCTGAACATCATTTCCAAAAATATCCTTAAACTCAGCAAATTCCTTTACTTCAGCTTCGGTATTGGAGTTATTTGATTCTATGGTTGACATGTCTTTGTACATCACATTCTCATTGAAAATTAAATCTCTGCTTCTGATGATCTTTCGATTTTCATAGTCCAAAAATCGGTAACCAAACTCATTACCACCATAACCAACAAAGACACATTTGTTGGACTTAGCATCAAGTTTACTTCTTTCAGTATAATTTATGTGTACATAAGAAATACAACCAAACACTCTTAAGTGTGAAAGGTTTATTTCTTTTATGCTCCAAACTTCCTCTGGTATTCCGCCATCCAAAAGAACTGAGGGCCCACAGTTGATCAGGTAAGCTGCAATGTTGATAGATTCAACCCATAGCAATTTGGGCAAGCCGGCATGTATCCTCATGCTTCTGGCACGTTCATTTAGAGTTTTGTTCATGTGCTCTGCTACGCCATTCTGTTGCGGTGTCATGGGATCTGTTGTCTCCATCTTGATCCCATTGTTTGCGTAAAATCCTCTGAATCTACTATTTCTGTACTCTCCTCCATTATCAGATCTCAACCGCTTAACTTTCAAACCAGTCTAATTTTCCACAATGGCCTTCCATTTTCTGAACGTATCAAAGACTTCTGATTTATTCTTCAGAAAATAAACCCACACCTTCCTTGTAGAATCATCGATGAAGGTGACATAATATAGTGAGCCTGCAAGAGATGGAATTGGAGATGGTCCCCATACATCAGTATGAACAAACTCTAACTTTTCAGCCTTTGGTGTCTTGCTAATCTTTGCAAAACTGACTTTCTTTTGTTTGCTAAAGATGCAATCCTCACATAGTCTGACATCTATACTCTTTAAATCCGGCAGTTTCCCTTTTGACAGAAGTATCTTCATCCCTTTCTCGCTCATATGGCCAAACCTTTGGTTTCATAGGTTTGATTTTCATAGGGTTGCTACTGCAATGATATTCTCCAAGTTTGAGGTTACATAGAGAGTACTAGTATTCTTACCACGAGAAATGATGAGGGCTCCTTTGGTAATCTTCCATTCACAGCCTGAAAATGTTGTACAATATCCTTCTCCATCAAGTTATCCTACAGAAATCAAATTTCTTTTGAGGCTATGAATATGTCTCACTCCTTTCAGCTTCCGGTGGTCTGGTTTGGCAACTTTAATCAGATGTCTCTTTTTTCGACGATCTTCAAGGTTTCATCATCAGCTAGATGAACCTTCCCAAAATACCACTGACATAGTTCTCCATGATTTCTTGGCATGGGGTGGAGTGGAAAGATGCCCCTAAATCCAAGATCCATGATTCAATCGGACTGTTTACGCTTAGAATCATGGCATCACATATTTCCTCTGTCATGTTGGCAGATTCTTGTGCGTTGGTATCTTTCTTCGGTGCTCGACAATCTCTTTTAAAATGACCATTATTGCCACAATTATAACAATTAAAATCTTTCTTTCTCGTTCTTGATTTTCTCCTTCTAGATTTTGATCTACCACGATTTGGCTTTCTTTCTGAAATTATCCCTCTAGACTCCGTATGCAAGGCTGAGGAGCTTGACGCTTCACCCAATTCTCTCCGTCGAATTTCTTCACTCAATACCAGGTCCCGAACATTATTAAATTTCAATTTACTGTTTCCCAACGAGCTACTGACTGCTGTAACTGTACCATTCCAAATGTCTGGTAGAGATGACAAGAGAATTAAAGCTCGAACTTCATCATCAAATTCAATTTCCACGGAACTCAACTGGGTTGTGATTGTGTTGAGTTCATTTAGGTGTTGAGCCCCTGATGCCCCTTCCACCATTTGTAAATTGAATAATCGCCTCATCAAGTGAACTTTGTTTGAGGTCGATGGCTTTTCATACATACTGGAAAGAGCTTCTATAAGACCCGCCATTGTTTTTTCCTTTTCTATGTTGAAAGCAATATTAAGATTTTTATTTTTGAATTATCTTTGTTATTTTTTAAGAAATCACAAGCCTATAAATACCCTTGCATGGGTAAGGCTGAAACAACCTATGACTTACTTTGTTTTTGCATTTTTATTTGTCAATCGAAGTTTTTTTTTCTTTTGTTACTTTCTTTATTTTCAAATCATTTTTATTTTGCAAACTATGCTAAGTATGATCAACCGTATTATGCTTAGCTAATTTCTTTTAAGCCGAGAGCTAGTACAAATCAATTTAATGCGTGAGAATTGAACATTGCTTAAATCCCTTCAGGATACATTTTCGTCTTTCTGATTAGATAGTTTGGCAATCGACCTTACTACAATTTTAAACATTTTTCAAATCAAAAAGAGCTTGTTGGTCTGTATATCGTTTAATATTAAGTTGAGAGGAAGGATCGACCTGTGACAATTCGACTTCATGTGAACACTTTTAGTTGCGGCCCGCTAAGGAAAGACGAGATTGGATTCAATTCTCGACGAGATAATATATCCAAGTAGGGCCTTTCCAGTTTAAATCTGATTGTTTTAACGTCAATAGACGTGGTTAATCCACTCAAGAATCGTCTTTCAAAGATAGACTTGGGAATATCGGTTACATGATATAAGGGCAAGTTACAATGGGTTGGACCTTGTAGATTGTTGTCGACATGAATCCCATGGCAAAATTCCTTTTCAATGATCGCATGAATTGAATCAAGCTAGCTCGAGGCGATTTTCATTTTTTTTTATTCCTAGACTTTATTTCACTTCTCTTTTGATTTACTGTTTTTCTCAATTTTATTTTAGATTTATTTTTTTAATTTACTTTCTTTCTTATCATCTAAATCACACTTACCCCCTTATTTTTATTTTCTTAATTTCTGCTTCTGAATCTGAATTCAATTTCATTTGAACTGAAATTTTGTATTTTTCCTTGTAGATCAACCCTCTTTTTATACTATAATATTTCTGTTTGAAGAGGATTGATTTATTATTTTTGTATGACGTAGATCCCTCGTAAAAACCAATGTTCCCTAAATAATAAATTTTATTTCTGTTCGCTGTAATGGGCCAAAAAAGCCCATAATATTTTTCAAATAGGTGTATTAACATTAAGCACAATTATTTGGTAAAATTGACCCAATATCACGTGCGGACTAGTTATTTAGTCTAATACGTTACAAAGTAAATTTTAGGATTTACGACATTTATTACAGTAATTTGAAATTCATCATATTGATGTGACGAATTTTAATAAAAATATTTTTTATTTAAACTTTTCATCCTGATGTGATGAAAATTATTAAAAATATATATTTTATAGGAACTCGTCACGTTGACGAGATGAATTTAAATAAAAAATAATTTTTATTAGAACTCGTTATGTGAGCGTGACGAGTTTCCTCTACATTGTAATATTTGGCATAGATCGCAAATTAATTTTAGATATGAGTTAAAAAAAGAGAAAATAACCTTAGTGACAAAAAATCTTAGATAATATACGATTTTGACCAACTTTTTTTGGATTTGCGAAAATGACCAACAAAATCGCAATGCGATCTCTAATTTGCATTGCGATCTCCACTATCGCAAATTTGCGTTGCATTTCGCGTTGCGATAGTTGAAAATCGCGTTGCGATAGTCTACAGTTGTCGTTACGATTTTCCAAATTCGTTGTGATTTTCCAAATTCGTTGCGATAGTCTACAGTTGTTGTTGCGATAGGCTACAGTTGTCGTTGCGATTTTCCAAATTCATTGCGAAAATTCGTAGTAATAGTTAAAAAAAATATTTTGTTTCTTAAGAATTTTCTCTAAAAAGATAGTATCCGAGCGGACGTGTCGAAGACACGTATTACCACGACCACGACCACAACCACGACCACGACCACGAGACGAACGACGGCGACGGCGGTGCGAGAGAGTCCCCCTTGTTCTCTATCACTCAACAAGGAAGTGGGAAAGTCAAGCCTTAAATACCATTCCATAGTGTTTCCAATACTATGTGGGATTGAGCATTACCAACACTTGTTTCCAATACAATGTGATTATTCAGGAAACAATTAACAATCATGCACCTTAAAACAACTGAATCAGCAACCAATTGCATTAATATTATACGATTAAATATGTCATAATTAAAAGTCAATCTACAATCAATCGCGATTATTGCAATTTTAAGCAAAACATTCAAAAATAATATCACTATTTAAGGCTCAATCCCACATAGTATTGGGAACAAGTGTTGGTAATGCTCAAATCCCACATAGTATTGGAAACACTATTGGGAATGATATTTAAGGCTTGGCTTTCCCACTTCCTTGTTGAGTGATAGAGAACAAGGGGGACTCTCGTGCGCCGCCGCCGCTGCCGTCCGTCTCGGGTCGTGGTCGTGGTAATACGTGTCTTCGATACATCCGCGCGGATACTATCTTTGTAGAGAAAATTCTTAAGAAACATTTTTTTTTTTTAACTATCACAACGAATTTTCGCAACGAATTTGGAAAATCGCAACGACAACTGTAGACTATCGCAACAACAACTGTAGACTATCGCAACGAATTTGGAAAATCGCAACGACAACTGTAGACTATCGCAACGCGATTTTCAACTATCGCAACGCGAAATGCAACGCGAATTTGCGATAGTGGAGATCGCAATGCGAATTAGAGATCGCATTGCGATTTTGTTAGTCATTTTCGCAAATCCAAAAAAAATTGGTCAAAATCGTATATTATCTGAGATTTTTGGTCACTGAGGTTATTTTCTCTTAAAAAAATTATCTACCTGGCCTATTGGGTCGATTTCGCTTAACTCTTTCATCAAGGCCCAAATAAATAGAAGAGAGCATTCGGGGCGGATCAAGGACCCATCTGATTCCTACGGGCTTCACCGATCTCACTAATTTTTAGGTTTAGGTTGTTTTCATTCTTCTACCAAAGCCCTAATTTTTATTCCTATAAATACAAAGCCACCGTAGTGCTTTTTCATCGCTGCTGCGTATCAGTGTCATCCGCCGTCTCTGATTTTCACTTCAGTTTTCCCTCTGAAGGTTTATTCTTCTCTTTTAAATTTCCGATCGTTGTTTGTTTTAAATTTATTTACTTTCATCGTAAAGAAGATCGCGGTGATGACCTCATAAAATTCAAGCTCAACAGACCGGAATGCAGGCTTCTCTTTTTGAGAATTTTGCGTGTCGATAACCCTGCTGAACCGAGTGATATTCTTTCTCTTTCTCTTTTCTTTTTTAATTATTTCAAAACAATTTTTCTTGAAAATGTGAAATTTGAGGTTGCGGCGAGGAGTCACAGCTCCCTCTTCCGACTAATGTTGAAGAAGTCAGCTGGCAGAATCGAACCTATAACTCTATCGCCACCACTGAGCAACCTCTTTATTTTCACCGATGTTCTAGAAATCTGAAGTGATTTGTTTTTTCATATTTTTCGAGTTTAATCTTTCCAGTGGATGATGATGAAGCAAAAAATTACACATAATCCAACACTTGATCTGAGATATTTCGTTATCGAGTGATGTTAAATCATTGCTTCTGAATCTGCCTCGAACTATGGTTTTAGGGTTTTAATTGCTTGATTTTCACGGTTTGGGATTTCAACTTCAATTAACAGTTGAACAGGCGTGCAGAATCATCAAATGATGAATTTGGAAAATAAATCTTAGGACACCTTCCTACATAGCTTAAAAAGCTATGGATGAGAAGATTATTTCCTTTCTGATGATGAAATTAAAATATGGGGAGTTCTGACACAACGATGATCTAATCCAAGGATGCTTCAATGATCCATTTGATATTTCAAAGGCAAATGCATACAGTAGAATCTTAAGAACCAGAAGGCTCGTCATATCAAATAATTTAAAATAACTCAGTTGGATGATTTGTTGTACAACTGGTAAAAAAAAAAAGAATTGTTATCATTTTAGGATAATTAATGGGTAAAGTATACAAATGGGTTATTTATAGGATATCAAAATCCTATATGGAAATCAAAATCCTTGCAAGAACCTCATCTGAACTAAAATCATCAGGCTGCTTTGTTTCTAGTAACCAGCAAGTAACACCTAATTCAGTGTCCCATCCCACATTTTCGATACTGTATTATTGAGCATTAGCAATGTTAGAAATTAACCAATCAGCTAAAGGCATATTTGATTCTTTGGTCTCGTTGAGATCTTACTGATTTCTTTCATTTTGCCTTTCGGTACAAGCAACCCATCTTTATGTTCCAAAGAACAAATTTTGGTCTAAAAATCTGAAGGATATGCCTACAATGGACAAACAAGAATCTCAGGAAAAATGTTAATGCTTCTGTCTGTTAAACACTTTACATGTTCTTAGTACGTACAACAAATGAACAGATGAGAAAGATGAGACATTTAATTCACAGATAACTGTTCCCCAAGTGGGAAATGTCCCAATTGAAACACAGTCAACCCCATGTCTCTTTCCAACTCTGTTCCTTTGGTCGCCATTGCCAAGCCTTTTCTTCTCTTAGGAGAAGTACTATTGTACAGAGAAGCTGCACGCTCCTAACTGGCGGTGGTTCATTGTTGCCGATCCTATGCGGGAAATTAAGCAACGCCCTTGAGCCACGCATTTCAAAAGCGGCTCGGTCATAAGTCGAAGCCGCTTCCTCCGCTGTCTCGTAAGTGCCGAGCCAAACTCTCGCGTGTTTCTTGGCTGAGTCTCTTATCGCGAATTTGCCCCACGGCCTTTGCCAAACTCCCCTATAATGTCTCCCCTTGACCACCTTTTGGTTCCCATTTCGAAAGCACTCGGTCCCGTTTTTGCTGCTTATTCCCATGAAAGCTCTTCCAAATAACATTGGAGCCGACCCTATTGTGTTCACTTGCGTAACCGGCGGCATCACCTCTTCGGGCTCGTCTTTAATGGCTTCCGGCACCGTTGAACTTAACGGAGACCAACCGAAATTGAGAGCTTCGTGAAGGGAGTTGTAGATGAGCATGTCCTCGGAGTCATCGACTTTCAAGGGCAAATCACCCCAGTATTCCGTCAGGCAAGAGCTGAGACACGCAAAGCTCCAAGTTCGAGGATATTGGCTGAATTCACAGAGACCAATCTCGTTCATTATCTGCAACTTATGATTTAAGGCTCGGCTTTGATCAAATGTCTCTAAAGCAATGAAAAACGAAATATGTATAAGGAAGAAATTAAACTAATAACGGGCTGGATTCACAGAACAATAATTCAAGTTAAACAATTTTTTAATAATTTGGAGTGATTATAAAATAATTATATTCATAATTTTTTAATCATTCACGCAATTGCCCGAACTGATGATATCATCACAGAAATATTCAATCTTATGCTGTTAGTATAATACATATATAAATTAACTAGACATGATCTAGGAAGGGTCATCTGCAAGTTGCACAGCTGCTTATTTTTTCTCCCTCGGGAAGAATCAGCAATAAAAGCATAGCTTTGTATCTGGTCACTTTACGAACAAAGGTGTCCAAACAGAAGTGACAAGAACCTTTAGGGCAGTTAGTTGCCGGTGGAGCCCTGGGAGAAACCTAGTTGCAAAGGGTTTCTGTCTCCGGATTGTCGCAATTGTTCACTCCCCCTTTACACTAACAACAGCTGCCAAAAGGCTAATGGATATGCCTCACCACAACTTGGAAGGTCCCAAATGATAAAAACATGGACAATCTTTTGCCTAGCATAGTACCAAGTTGGAACTTTGGTCCCCACTCTTCTTTATTAGTTACCCTTCGGATAAGACCATCCACTTTCCACACTACAACTTGGGTGTGCCACTGCCACAAATATCCTCCCTCCAAACGCCCTGGACAAACCCAAAAACAATAAATTTCAGGTGAGTCCTGCTCTTGTAAGAGATCACTAAATAAAAGAGTGTGTTATTGCACCAAATAAATAAATAAATAAATATTTTTATTATGATTTGATCTGATTCATCAGCATCATATTTTAATAAGATAAGGTAAAATTATCTTTTTTATTCTCAAATATATGTTTAAATATTTAAATTTAGATCTTTAAATATAAAATGAATGTACATTCATTTATAATATGATACCTTTGCATCTAAAGTACACCTAAAGATAAAGGTGTTAATGCCTAATGGACCCTATTAGACCAAAGTATGAGGCATAAAAATTGTATGTTTAGGCTTGTCTTGCTTGTAATTTCTATATTTTTTAGTTTAAAAATAATAGAAGATATATTTTATATTAACATTTATATTTATTTATAATTCAATTTAAATAAATAAAGCACATTTTAAAGTGTTTATTTTGTTTAGGCAGGACCAAATAAGTATAGTAAAAATTTTAAAGATTAATGATATTTATTCAAAATGATTCTATAACCAACGAAAATTGTTGTTAAATTATTTTGATTAAAAAATAAATTGAATTTTTAGCCCTCAATTTAAGGATCATATTAAGTATAAAATAAGTTTAATGACTATATTGATCTATTTTTTAAAAAAACTTCAAATATCATCAAATTAATTTTTAAAATGCCTATGAATATTTAAATTTAAATAATTTTAAATTATATTCTTACGATGAATTAATTAAATTAACTGTTAGGTGTTGTTTGTTTTTGCAGAGGTAAAAGATCTGTAGTCTGCGAACCACATCTGCATGCATCTGTAACAGAAGAGGTGGACCAAAAGTCTGCAGTCTACAAGAAGAAGATTGTTTGTTTTTTAACGTTTGCAGACTGCTAAAATGAACTGAAATTTAAATAAACTGATTTTTTAAACTTAAAAGAGTTTTGCAATACTGAAATTTAAATAATTTTAGTTTTACAATACTGAAATTTAAATAATCCATACAACTACAATAATAAATTATTTAAAATAAATTAATCTATACTAATAAATTATTTAAAATAAATCAATATATAGTAATAAATTATTTAAAATAAATCAATCTATATTTTAAAATAAATCAATCTATATTTTAAAATAAATCAATCTATATTTTAAAATAAATCAATCCATAGTAATAAATTATTTAAAATAAATCAATTCATACAACTACAATAATAAATCAATCCATATTTTAAAATAAATCAATCCATACTAATAAATTATTTAAAATAAATCAATCCATATTTTAAAATAAATCAATCCATAGTAATAAATTATTTAAAATAAATCAATTCATATTTTAAAATAAATCAATCCATACTAATAAATTATTTAAAATAAATTATTTAAAAATAAATCAATTCATATTTTATACTAATTTATTTTAAAATAAATAACCTTATTAAATTATTTAAAATTATTTTAATAAATAACCATATTTTATAATTATTCTTGAAGAGGTTTGAAGACCTTTAAAGACATAAAACCATATCTGCACCAAGAAGAGCTAACGCAAACGTTAGAAGAGCTTCTGTCTTCTAAAAAATAAACGATCTGCGAAGTCTAATATCTGCGCAGCGCAAACATAAGATGTTTGAAGAGGTTGAACAGTGAAAATAAACACAGGCTTAATGTCGACAACAAATTAAAAAATATATAAAAATATTAAATTTAGATATTTGTACTTTCCAAAATTTCTATATAAATATTGTAGCTTGCTCACTCCAGCATCCATAAATATTGTAGCTTGCTCAAAACCTTAAGAAAATGACGACTACTTTTGAAGAAGCAACGACTCTGGATTTCATTCAACACCATCTTCTCGCCGACTTTGCTTCCGCCGATGCTTTTATCGCCGGCCTTGATTTTGGTCTCTCCCACCTACAAAATTACCACTTTTCCGATCTAGATCAACTTCTCTCCGCCGTACCCGACCCGAATCACCAAACCCACGAAATGTTCAGCTATGACATAAAGCCCGAGGCTGTCGATTTGGATACTCCGGCTCCGAGTTCCTTCATGTCGGACTCAAAAATGGCGCCCAAGGTATCACTTTCTGGAGAGAGAAGGCATTACAGAGGCGTACGAAGGAGGCCGTGGGGCAAGTTTGCGGCGGAGATCCGAGACCCGGACCGGAAAGGACGTCGGGTCTGGCTAGGTACTTTTGATTGTGAACTCGATGCTGCCAAGGCTTATGATTGTGCCGCATTTAAGATGAGGGGCCACAAAGCAATACTGAACTTCCCGCTAGAAGCCGGGCGGGCCAGCCCGCCGGCGAGTACGGGTAGGAAAAGGGGAAAAGATAAGAGAATTCAGTCGCCGGAAAGTGACGTCGTGTCTCCGGTAAGTGTCGAAGTGGCTTTGGAGGTGAAGGAAGAAGATGTTAAGCCGCAGCTTGATGGTTAGAATCGGCTGTCACTGTTGAAGTAGAGAACATGATAGACGATGTGAATAGGGATAATTAGTGGTTGAATTGATGTACCATAAAAAAACATGTAATTTATGTTTTGGATAATTTAATTTTATTACCTAAGAAGGAATGTTTGTTATAAAAAATCACCGATTATAAAAAACAAGAAGAATATACAGACTAATTATAAAATAAATGATCGGTATTAATCAATACCTCAAGTAATATAAAGATTAGAGTTAATATAGTCAAGCTTATTAATATTTTCCCCCTAAGTTTAATTCCTACATAATCTTTAATGCTGCTAAGTAATTCTTCAATGTTTCGAGAACAACATTTGAAAATTCTTCGGTTGCGTTCCTCCAACAAAAAGTAGATGGTGACGTTTCAAGCAAGTTTGAAGATAATGATTAATAAAGATTTTTCTTTTCAGGTGCTATTCGCCCAAGTGATCATGTCTTCCCAAGAAGAAATAGTCTTGTTAATCCCATTAAGAAGAAGAGTTTGCTCCCGTGACTGAGTGGCAATCCGACATTCAAAGAACACGTGGTTACGATTTTCCAGTATATCATTACCTAAAACACAACTTTCATTAGAAACAATTCCCATATGTTGAAGGCAATCGCGTGTAGGCAGACTATCAATCATAGCCATCCATGCAATCAAGCTAAGCTTGGAGATGTTTTGAGGGAACCAAATTAAAGAGTGCCAAGGTACTTTAACCCCTTTCATTCTAATATCTTTCCATATTTGCCTTACCGAGAGAGCTCCATTATGAAGAATAGGATGAGCTTCGGTTCGAAGCTTAAGGATTTTTCTAATATCTTTCCATACATGTAAATTAGTCGTTGCTTGCAAGTTAGAATTTGATTAGAGATCACCATCAGTGAAACTTCAAGAGAGAATATTAAATTACGTGTTGTATTTTTATAATTTCCCGCTCCCCATTTTCCCCACGAGAAAATCAAAGATTAAGTTTAATTCATTTTTTTTCAATGAATATCTTATTATTCTTTATTATTAATTTCAACTTTTAATTTTCTTTAATCCAACGATCTTAAAATTATGTAAAAAAAATTAATTTTATATTATATAATTGGATATTAACCTTTATTTAAATTTAATATAAAAATAATATTTCTTCTTTATTTATCCATCAAAATGACAAGTAGAGTAAAGATGTGTTATATTAGACGATTATTTAGATATTGGAGAGTCACGGTGAAGTAAATTTCCTGACTGATAAGCTTGCTAAAATCGGTTGAGGGAAGACACTGGGACATACTCCGCTAATAAATCCGTGTGTCGAAACCCATAGAATCCTCAACTCGGATCAAATCGAGTTGAACAGAACAACTCTCCACTCGTTCCTGGCCTCTTTTTCTTGTTAAAAAAATAGTACTATTTTGATAAATAATTAGATATTATAATATAATATAATTAAATAAAAGAATTAATCATTTAGATATTTGTAATTTAATCAATAAAATATGTATTAAATCTATTCTTATCTAATCGAAAACTATTACATCAAACGACAGAAAAGCCACCTTAAATGGCCCTCGTAATATTTCCATCGTAATTATCTAAACCTTTGGCATGGATGAAATTTCCAAATAGAAAATGATAGAATTGAGGCAACAAGTTGCAGCAAATGAAAAAGGGACCCCCTAATGAACGTAGTTGCCTGAGATTTGTCCTATTATGCGTTTTATATTTTATGTTAGAAGAGAATTTGAATTTATAAAATTTTAATAGATAAAAATAATTTTTTAATAGAAAATACAAAAAAAATCTAAAATATATGATAATTTTAAAAATTTTCAAGAGAGACGTCGTATACCCTCTCTCAATCCATCCGTGAAGCTATGCATACATGATCCAAATGCTGCACCATTAACCAGTTGTAAATGATGGAGATGGGTCACAACTTGCTCAAACCCAACTTGTAAACTTTTATTTTTTGGTAGCAAAAGAGAGATATGTATCACTATCGTGATCGTCATCCGCCCTTCATCCACATGATCTCATCAATTTTAACGTTTAATAATCAGTGTGTCTCGTTTTCAAAATTCACAAGATAGCCCAACTATCCGTATCCATATAATTTTAGTCATCCCAAATATTGGACCAACATAGGAAATAATAGAATATATATATATATATATATATACACGCGTAGAATTTCGTCAAATTTGCTCATTACATCTAGGGATGGATATAGGATTCGAACCTGACGGGTTTCGATCCGATCCAACCCTATTGAATCTGTTTTTTTTTTAAAATGAGTTCGGGTCGAGTTTTTTTAAAAGGTGATATTCGGGTTTAATCGGATTTGGGTTTAAGGTGAAAAATACTCGACCCGGGAAAAAAGTAATTTTACCTTATATATGTTTAGGAATAATTATAATAAAACCCCTGTATATATTATTTTTTTTCTAATTAAATCATTATTTTTATTGAATAAAAATAATATTTTATTATTATTTCGGGTCGGGTCGGGTCGGTCGGTTTCAAATTTTATCACAAAAAATCAGGTCGGATTCAGGTTGGGTGGAGGGTATATATTTTTCAGGTTGGGTCGGGTTGGGTTGGCCGAAACCCGACGCAAACCTGACCCATTCCCATCCCTAATTACATCCATATTGAAGGTCATAAATCCAGAACTCAAGATCCCTACAAAGACCAAATTTGTACTAATAAAGAAGAAGCCAAATAAATACTTTGTTTATGCTTATTATCTCTATTAGGAAGAGTACCGCAGTGTCAAATTTGTAAGAACCCAGGTCCAATGACCCTTAAAGCCTTTATTGGGGTGATAATGAGTTCAAATCCATCAACACTTGGAACCTTTAAAAAAGTCTTAATATACAATTTGACCCTTGCATACTTAAAAAACAGAAACTTTTCAAGGTACAGATGAGCATCACACTGCCATCATTCCTGCCTGATGCCGCCTATAGAGTATGCTTGCTTACTTTGAAAGGCCATTGTGATGCTAATCAGATTGATGGTGCATTGATGTGCTTTTCGAAGATGATGGAAAACTTTAATGCGGATGCTGACTTGTTGGACGTCTTAATAAACAGTTTTGTCGGCCAGAATCGAGTATATGGCGCATACAAACTGCTGGTGGAGATTGTGAATGTAGTTCATTTGAGACCTTGGCAAGCAACATTTAAACTTCTTATAGAGAAGCTTCTGGGGAAAGGAAAACTTGAAGAATCAATGAACCTACTTTGGTTGATGAAGAAACATAACTATCCACCTTACCCAGAGCCTTTCATTCGATATATTTCGAAATGGGGAACTGTGGATGATGCTAAAGAATTCTTAAAAGCACCGAGTGTGAAAGAATATCCAACCATCGGAGCTTACATCCATGCTCTTCAATCATTTTTGGAGGAAGGTAGACATTCAGAGTTTCAAGATCTCCTATACGAGTGCCCTCATCATATTCGTAATCATCCTAAAGTATCTGAACTCTTTGCTATCAAGTTTACTGCTTGATCTTTTTTTTCTGGGTTTTCCCCTGCTTTGATTTTAATTTTAGACGGATTGTTCAGGATACAAAACCTTGGAGGTCATATGTTACAATCTTAAGTTGAGCGTTGCTACTTGACGAGGCTTAGAGGTACACTTTATTTGTTTATAAAAAGTCTATTCATCCATGAAAAAGAGTCAATCATCCTCCTCTTATTTAAGTCGTTTATCCGTTTAGAAGAAGATCGACGACAACTCCCCTGATGCTTCCTTTTGTGCTTCTTCAGCAGCATTCTGTTCATTTCCACATCACAGAAACCCTGCACCCGTATACCATGATCCTAATCAACAAGAGAAAAATAAATAAATCAAAGGGAGACCACATTTTCTGCAGCTCTTCAAGCATGGGATCCCATTCAGTTGCTCCACAGAGATCATCAATGCACTTCACCAGATTGTATTCGTTCATCCTCAAAATCTCTTTGATCAAATTCATTTGAATCCCATGTCTTCAAGCTCCTTCAGAAGGATTTGCGATGCCATCCTCCAGTAAGAAACATATGGACCGGGAACAAGGTCCAGTGATGGGAAGAACCCAACAAACATCACACTGAATTCCCTTGTGGAGTGTACCCAGCATGCCATTTACATCAGTCCAAACAAAGATCCTTTTACTTCGACTTAACAGAGGCCGCGCAACAGGGTCATTTGCTATCGACACTCCACCGGAGTGGCATTCATTTGAAGGATCCCTACCCATCATGTTGATGGGGTAATATTTCTTTGCAGAATCAATAAATGGAGCTGATGTATTGAAGCCAACACTCTTCCCCTTCTAACGACCGATGCTCTCCTTCGTGTTTTTCTGGTCATTACAAGCAAAAACATTCATTGGAGATTGTTGAGAAGACACAGGAGCACATACATTCAGGTTGTCGTTAAAATGTGGGTCTAACACTTGGCCACGCCCCAAATAGATTTCTATCTGAAACTACTAAACACTAATATGGGTATTCCTTGTTCGTCAATTCTAGTTCCAAATAGCTATAGAATAGAGTAGATTATTGCTACGATTTTTGCATGTATGGATAGAGAATTAAATCGAATTTATTGATTATTACATAGAATTCAATTAAGATATTGTATGAAAAGTATGATTTCTTCTATTCTCTTGTAAGAATTGAAGGCTTTTTGATTGGGTGAGTTCTAAAGAAGTACAACATTTGAATCAATAGTACCAGGATCAGATATAGAAGGTACATCCACACCTCTAGTTACGTTTCCAGTGCTGCCTTCCTTGCTATGATTGCAAGTTGAATCAACATAACTTTCGATAAAACTGCTTCGTAAGCCACCACCCGGACCGGTTGCGACAGATGTGGTACAAGGGCTCCCAGAAGTCACAGCAGGCACGCTCGAATCCGATGAAGATCCAGGCTTCGGAACGGGAATCGGGTACGATTGTCCTATCTTAGACCACCTCTCCACAAGGTCAGCCACTTTCAAAGCAGCATCAAGGGAGAGCTTTCAAAGCTGCATCAAGGGAGAGCTTTAAGAAAGCTTCACTAAGAGTCCCACACGCAGAGGATCCGGTACAGATTTCAGAAACCTTGATATCAGTCCGTGCTTTTTCAATAGCACATAAACTTCCTTCATATGAATTTATTTTGATTTTATTTATGTTTAAAATATATGTAATTAAATTAAAAATAATATTTTATATATACAATTGAATTAGAATCAAAATTTTTAATTTATCCTAAATATTAATCATGTCAGAATCGTGGTCGTTTAATCTCTATCCAACGGTACAACAACCCAGCTCGTTCGTTGTGCATGCATGCATGCATTAATCTTCACTTGTACTTAAATTTTTCTTACGTTAGACCTTTAAAATTATATACAGAAAAGAAAAACACCCAAATGAATATCAATCATTATCACTTTTTCTTTGTTCAATCTCTTCAATCCTCCTCAAAACTTCACTCATTTTAGGCCGCTCCTCCGTCGCGGCGGCGGTACACTCCAAAGCCAGATTCGTAAGCTTCAACATCTCATCATGTGCTTCTCTCGTACATAAAATCTCTACATCCAATATATCCGTCGACCAATCATTGTTCACAACATCTCTAACCCACTCCGACAGCTCGCCGCCGAGTTCTCTCTCTTCGTCCCCTTCGTCTACAGGTATCCGGCCAGTGATGATTTCCAGTACGATAATGCCGAAGCAATAGACGTCGGCTTTGATCGTCAACTTCTTTCCTTGACAGAATTCCGGTGATCGGCTGATGGCCAGATTTTCCAACGATTTTCGAGACGACAGCAATGGGTAGTAGCCGTAATCCGTCACCCTGGTATTGTAGTTTTGGCTTTGGCCTTGGCAATGGATCAGTACATTTGAAGACTTGAGATTTGCGTGAGGAACTTTGTGGTTAGGTAAGTGTTGGTGAAGGTAAGTCATGGCCTTTGCTACATCTTTGATTATTGACAGTCTTGTGCCCCAGTTCAGCGGTATTCTTCCCGAACCTCTATTTTCTGCCATTTCCCATATACCAAGAAAACTCAATTAAGAAGTTTTGAAGTTTAAGAGACCAATTTAGAATCTAGACTATAGTTTGAGGGCATTTAGTGAATTAACAACGACCCAAATTAAATCTCAAAGAAGTAAATAAAGAACCAAACTGACCGTGTAATAAGTCGAATAAGCTGGTAGCAGGCACAAATTCATAGATGAGCAGCTTTTCCTCCTTGGAATTGTAGGAAGAAACCATGTGCACCAGGTTCTCATGCTTAAGCTTTCCAAGCATCTGCATCTGCTGAACAAATTCCTTGTTGCTCAACCTTTTCATGTCTTTTATTCTCTTCACCGTAACCACAACGCCTGCTTCCAATGATGCTTTGTACGTGGTGCTTAATTTCCCTCTCCCCAGAACTTCAGCCGATGCTCTTAACAAATCATCCATGTCAAAAGCTGCTATGTTCTTGTCGAAAAACACCAATTCCGCCGCTCTTTCTGGATCCGCCGCCCTTTGGGGAGAACGCTCGTCAAACCCTACATAAGTTTGAGCACTTTAATGACATATTATTGAAATATGTAATGTCAAATACATACATGGTATTTGTACTGTACAATTGTGCATACCTGTGTTCTTGGCTGTTTCTTTTCTATGCACTTTCCTGTAATACCATAAGAAACCCAAGATAACTAGGGAGGGAACCAGGACCGAAACAGCGATGACGAAAGCCAAATCCCGAGCTCCGAAACTCTTTCTGCAGCCGTGATTTGGCGACGGAGATGGGGCGGGTGGAACCGGGCATTGCTTCTTTATAGGGCTGCCGCAAAGACCGGAGTTATGTTCATAAGAGCTGTCGGAGAACCCTTGAAGCACATCGGTCTGAGGAATTGGACCCTGAAGTCTATTATAAGAGACGTTGAAGGTGACCAAGCTTTGCTGATCGAAAGGCGGAATCTCCCCTTGCAAATAATTCTCTTCCAGCTCTATCTTCTTCAGGTTCGGTAATCGAACGTAATGAAAAGGGATGGAACTATTGAACAGATTACGCGAGAGGAAAACGTATTCCAAATGAACAAGGTCGCTGAGATCCGGAAGTGGTCCGGTGATCGAATTGCTTCTCATGCTTAGTTTAGTCAGGAAGGTTAAATTCTTCATCACCAACGGCGGGAGAGATCCAGCAAGCCGGACTCCGTCGAGGACGAGACGGACCACGTGTCCGTCGGAACAAGCAACGCCGCCCCATTGGCTTTGGTTGTTCATACAAGGAATCCCCGTCCAATTCGAGTACAAATTCTGAGAACCAACAGCGTCCCTCAGCCGCAGCAACGCTTCTACTTCGCTCGGGTAGTACTCCCCCACAATCGGTATCAAAGCAACGACGCCGCTCGACATTGTCACACACAAAACCAGCGAGACGAGGCTGAGAGCGAAATTCATGGCCGGCGTTCTCCGTAATCAGAACGAATCTTCATCATTTCACCGTCGAAGTCATCGTTTTGGCTCGTCGTTGATCCAAAGGAACAAAACATTCGATTGCATAATAAAGCCATACCTTTCTTTGAGTGAATCACAAAGTAGCTGTAGGTTGACGAAATTTGCAAAGCTATACGTAAAAAAAATCCAATCTTTTTTTTTATTGGGAGAAACAAGAGAGTTCTTATCGGTTTAATACCATGTGACAGCTTTGACCTGTTTTTCCCACGAACTTTGTATACGGTTTTCGAATTAAAAACACGTCTTCAACTGCCATTAAAGTAATGTATAGACTTGAAAGGCCAATTTAATAGGGTAAATTACGCGTTTAGTATCTAAACTATCAGTTTTAATTTTTTTAGTATTTATTTTTTATTTTTTTATTTTTTTAAAATTATATCTAAAATTTAATTTTTTTTCTCATTTTAGAACCCATTTAAAATTTAATGTTAAGTTTTCAAAAGATTGAAAGTTTAGGTACTAAAAAAAGACTAAAATTAATAATTTATGTATTAAACGCGATAAGTTTTTACGACATAGTTTAAAATAAAAACTAAACGTTAGAAATGATTTCGAAAAAATTAAAAGTTTAAGTACTGAAATAATTAAAATCAATAGTTTAGGTATTAAAATGACTAAAATTTTTAATATAAGTATTAAATACGTAGTTAACCTAATTTAATATTTCAAAAATCAATAAGAGTATTTGTGTCGTGGGAAGCAAAGAATGAGAAAGGGCGGGAGGGTTGACAGCTGCACCAACCGTAAATAATTGTCCCAAAATGCCTAACCACAAACTTAAAATATATTAGAAATAAAGGTTTAGGTCTACGGTTCATTGCATTTTAATTATTTAATTTTAACAAAGCTTTTAAGTCTACGGCTCGTTGGATTTTAGTAGTTTTTTCTTTCTTTCTAACAATGTAAATGCAATTGAATTAGAGGATTTTATTGCGATGGTTATGGGTCGGATTGGGTTAAGTTAAAGATTTTGTCAATTATAATTTTATTTATCACTTAATTCGACTTGGGTTTAGACATATTTGAATCGATTTGAAATCAGATTCAACTTAAATTTAAAGATACTTTATTCAACCTGAAATTTGATTTGATTTTTGGATAAAAGTTTAGGTCGAGTTGGGTTGAATAGCTTGAACTTGATCCGATATTTGGATAAAAAATTAGATTGGGTTAATATAACAGGTCACATCACAATATTTTTAAGTGGCATCTATAAATTTATTGTTTTTAATGGAATATTTTAGAAATAAAATTATTATAAAATTTATTTTGTAAATTCTACTTGGAAATATATTATTAGTTTCGATTTTGTTTTTTTATTTAAAAATTCAATTATTTAAAGATAAATATTTAATTATTTTTTCAGTTTAAAATATTCATAAATTTTATTAAATCCAAAAAGTTTGATGAGTCTCTATGATCAAATTCATTTTAAAAAATACAATTTCTATTTAATAAAATGACTGTCATGATAATTATATGTATGCGTCACGGGCCTGGAATTTGCTTGTGTATGTGGTGGGCCTGGATTTTAACTTAACAAACCGCGCTGTTTTAGATCACTGAATCCATTGTGGAAAAGCTGTTAACACAGGAAATGCTAACATACAGGACGAGCCACAGTTTTAATCGTTTTGAATTAACATGTACTATATTTTTATTTATTTTTTTGTCTTTGTTGATCGCGACGACACCAATTTTAATATTAATTATCGACCATCGGTGTTTCTTTATTGTTTTTCTTTCTTTCTTATATCGTAGTTCTATTTTCTTTTGTTTTCTCCTTCAATAAGTATGTCTGAATAACACGTTTTCATATGTATATGAGACATGCTTTCATCTGCCTTTGTGACACATTTTCTTTTGTCCTCTGACATATTTTATTTCATTTATCTTTTTACTAAGGGTTGATTTGACATCACCACGACTGATCAAGATGCCGCTTATATGATATCTTGTTGATCGTCCTTTCTTTAGACCCTCGGAGTGGATTTGGATATCCGTTTTGCGTTCGTGGATAGTTTTTCACGTCACTCGAGTCTGATTTACGATTTTGTCGGCGGTCTTTTAATATTTTGATCCCATTTTGTGATTCGTTTGCCGATACGATCAGATTTTATTTGTATCTATCTTTTGTTTGAGTTTCTTTGTTAGATTTTTAATCTTTCCTCGTATGGTCGTTATGATCTTAAGTTGCTAGTTTTGTTTGGACGATTATAAGAAATTGTCCTAATTATGTGTTTAATTTACGATTATGATGGTAAATCCTTATTATAATTTGAGATATTTATTATTTTAAATAAAATTAGTTGTTTTCGTTAAAAAAATAATGTTATAAATAATTTTATTATAACACGAATCAAGTGACTTCAGTGGTAAATGAATTATTATTTTTCTTTGAGGTATCGGGTTCGAACACCAGAAATACAATTGCCAAGTGTGCGAACATTTAATATCGAATCATTGAGAGTAATATTCAAATATACATTGTCTTGTACTTTGCCAAATTAATAAAAAAAATAATGTTATTATACTCATTTTGGATCGTTCCAAGATTTGAGATGAAAACTAATCCCCAATATAAATTGATATGTTTTTGGGCTAAAATGCATAAGAGGTACCTATACTTTTGAAAGAAACCAATGTAGCCCTCGTATTAATTTTTCTCTCAATATGACTCATCAGCTCAAACAACAAACTCAGCGTGACCCTTTGATCAATGTTTTTCATCTTTGACCGTTATGGTATTGACATGGCAGTTTACAGTGCTGACGTGACAGTCTATCTACCATTTTTGAGTTATCAATTTAGTCCATATGTCATGTTATCCACCACATCATCAACCATTATGGACTGTCACATCAACACCGTGAAGTGTCACGTCAACACTATAACAGTCAGCGACAAAAAATATCGGTCAAAGAGCCATATTGGAATTTTTTTTTAGTTTGAGGGTCACATTGAGGGAAAAAAATAACATAATGATCGCATTAGGTTTTTTTTGCAGTACATGTACAAGGACCTCTAATTCCTTTTTACCTATTTTTTTTTCTATTAATTTCTTTCTCTTTTTCAAAAATTGCAACGAGAATTTAAAATGGGTGCTTCTCTTAGTCTAATTTATTTTATTTAGGTAGGAATAATCAATTCAAAAGCACAAGAGAATAATTGTCAACAAATGAAAATTCCAAGTCCAAGATTTATAACACGCTGATAGCTACATCCTAATTTTCTGTGGTTTAGAGGTTTCAGCTCTGCAAAATCATGTTCAAAGGGAAACTAGGCAGCCTGTGAACCACATAATTAGATTTGTTGACGGTCCAAAAAGGTGAAAAGTAGGAGATTTATGTGAGATTTACCATTAATTACTCTCTCTCTTTTTTCTAGTACAAACCACCCGTTTCTGAATCTATTTTTTTAAAATCCGACCCTATTCAATTGAATAAAATAAAAAAACAATCGATTTCAAATTAAATTATCATCTAATTGTAAATACAAGGAGAAAACAATGGTATAATGGACATAAAGTTAGGATTTATTGTATTTTTTTGTGATTTTTTCTTGTATTTTATTATAGATAAAAGATAATTTAATCTATAACTGATTACTCTATAAAGATTTCTTTAAGTGAATTTTGTGTATTTATTTATTTTATTGTTTTCATTTTATAATGTATTATTCAATATTATTTGCAACAAATATATTTAAGTTGGATTTTTATTCGCACGAACCAAAGCGATTTTGGAAGTAAAAGAATTGTTGTTATTTCTTAATGTATCGAATTTAAGCACCATAAATGATAGGAATATGAGCGTTTAATGTTAAATGTTTAAAAATTATATTTGCATAGATGTTACTATATACTTACTCTAGATTAATAACAAGAAAAATTGAATTTTCATTCATAAAAAGATAAATGTTCAAATGATATGCATCCTAATTATTTATCGAAATGATACTTTTAGATTAAAAGTATTATTTAAATTAAAAATGTTATTTAAATAAATATTTAGAGATGCATATCATTTAAATATCTCTCTTAATTTTAAAATGTTATTTAAATAAATAATTAGAGATGAGTATCATTTAAATATTTAATTTTATAAAAATCTCAATGTAAAAATAAGTACTGAAATTATATCTAGAATTTTTTTTTGTTTCTTAAAGAATTTTTTTTATTAAAAACAGGTGTCTAGTATTTTATGCATTACACTTTTAGGTGTCTATCGTTAAAAAAATTGTTAAGTAATATATATCAAGTTTATATTTTTTTTAAATGAAATATTATGTCAAAAATTTGAGTGTGACATGTATCACTTAACGATTTGTTAATGGTAGATACTTAAAAGTATAACGAAATAATATTTTATGCGCTAAAAGTTAATTTTGAATATAGTTTATGTATTATTTTTATATTAAGCCAAATTAAAATGATATATTTGGTTAAAAGAAAAAAGCTTTTCCGTTGGTGGTTTGGTTCTCTATAAAGATACTACAGCACATTTCCACCTCTCTGTCCAGATAGCTTCCTTTTTCCTTGCTCTGAAAAAAGAATGGGGAACTGCCAAGCTATTGATGCAGCGACTCTGGTTCTGCAGCACCCGTGTGGGAAAGTGGAGAGATTCTATTGGCCCCTGACGCCTCGTGAGGTTATGAAGATGAACCCCGGTCACTATGTGGCTCAGCTCATCTCCACCACCTTGTACCATTCACAGCCACAACAAACGCCCAATGTCAACCCTGTTCGCTTAACCAGGATCAAGCTCCTCCGATCCACGGATGCGCTTCTTCTCGGCCATGTTTACCGCCTCATCACCATCCAAGGTATCATAATCATATACACACATATATATATTCCGGTTGCTTGTTTTCTTTGGGTTTGTAATCAGGTGGTTCTTTTTTTCTTTGGATTCTCAGAAGTGATGAAGGGTTTGTATGCGAAGAAACATGCAAAGATGAACAGAAACATACAATCTACGCCGGAGAAGCCTTATGAGAAGGCTGCTGTTGGTCGGATATCTGAAGCGGATAAGGCGAGCAAACAAGAAAGGCAACGATCGAGGTCGACAACATCGAGCAACTCAACCGGCAGATCAAAGACATGGCAGCCTTCATTACGCAGCATCTCCGAGGCTACAAGCTGAGGACATTTTCATTTTCATGTTTCTTGCCCCCATTAAATTGCTGCATAAGAGACATAAAACCCCCAAGCTTCTTTTTTAATTAACCTGTAAAAACCAATACATGCAGTTTCACTCTCTTTAGGATCCATATATAGGCTATCAAACCCAGAAAATCCCACCCCTTTCTTCAACCTGCAGATCTGAGCTATATGCATAATTGTACATCCCAAAAACAAATATGTAATCGGTTCCTAGTATTTTCCCCCTATTATCGTTTCTTTTTAGAAATTATATTCATGATCAACCATTATAATCATGTAAACAAACCTAAGAATATGTTATCAAATCGGGTTTGGATTCGATTCTAATGAACCGAAAAGGGATAATTTTATTCGATTTTTTCGGATTCGGGTATAACAAAAATTCACCTGACGATTAGATACAAGTGATCTTATACAACAGCAATGTCATTTGTTAGGGCAGCATTGCTGTTTTACAGAGCAATGAATTGAGAAGAGAATATGAATTATAAGTACATGGGGGGAGGTAGGTATATGTCAACAACAATTGTTTATGAAAGTAGGGTTGGGGCCATATATTCATATCGATTCTCGTGTATACTATAAATAAATAAATAAAATTTTCACTATTATTTTAAAACCAACAGGCTCTACTAAAATACAAAGGAATCGAGGTCATAATAATTGCCTTGATGGACCATAGCCTCTCTCTCTTATATGGTCCCTAAAGCTCCATAACTATGAATAGCTAATTAAAAGTAGAGGCACCAGCTGATAATGCCCCTCCTTTAATAGGTTAATTTTTGTAGTTTGAAATCTAACTATATATATATATATATATCATTTTAGTAAAATAAATTAATAAAAGAATATTATAAATTAATGTTATCTCATATTTTATATAACTATAACTAGCGGCAGATCTACAAATATTTTTGAGAATATATATATACACACACGTTAATAATATAAAAATTTTAAATGGGGTGGACATCATCATTAAAATATATAATTAATCGAAGAAAATTCGAGTTTCAGAGTGTACACAAAAAAAACTTTCAAGATAGGGGCAAAATCACCATCAAATGTCGGTAATTTTGTAAAATAAAAAATCTTTTGAGAATCATTATTTCTATAAAATTTTCAAAATGAATTACGTATTTAGTATTTAAACTATCAGTTTTGATAACTAAATTTTCTTCTTTTTTCAAAATTATACCTAGCATTTAAATTTTTATTCCATTTTAGTACTTCAATGTTAAAAACTCAATACATTTAGTACCTAAACTATCAATTTTGATACGTTTTAGTATCAAAACTTTTATTTTTTTTTTCAAAAGTTAACTTTAAATTTTGAATGGAGGCACTATAATGAAACAAAAAAAATAAACTTTAAGTGTGCTTTTAAAAAAATTAAAAATTTAAGTATTAAAATTGATAATTTAGATTCTAAACGTGTAATTTATCCTATTTTTTATTCACAATCTTATACTAAAATGACCCATTTAATAAGCATAAAGTTATTGCTCCACTTCACTATTAAGGCAACTGCAACCAACTTGAAAAAAATGGAGCTGAAACATTATGTGTAAACCATGAAATTAAATAGCTCCACTTCAAACGTATTTGAGGACTGCATTATATTTTGATTTATGAATTTGAAGAGAAGGGCCGCCCAAGTCCGTATAATTTAATCACTGTATAAAAATTTGGGTAAACTACATATTTAACACCTAAATTATCAGTTTTGATCCATTTTAGTACTTAAACTTCTAATATTTTTAAAACCATACATAACGTTTAGTTTTTGTTTCAATTTAGTATCTTACCGTTAAAAATTTAACGCATTTAGCACCTAATCTATCAGCTTTGATCCGTTTTAGTCCATAAACTTTAAAAACGTTAAATTTTGAATAGAGATACTAAAACGAGACAAAAACTAAACATTAAAAATGATTTTGAGAAAATAATTGAAAGTCTAGGTACTAAGATGGACTAAAACTAATAATTTAGGTATTAAACACATAATTTACCCTAAAATTTAACTTATCCTTTTTCGACATTCAAATTTTCATAATATTCTCCCTCAACTTATGAAGTAACTTCTTTAACATTTCGAATTATATTATTCCTTCTAATAAATCATTCATAGGGTGGAGTAACACAGAGGAACATGATCCCTTTTACCGTGGGCCATTGTTGGCATGCCTGATACGAACTTTGTCTCTACTGGTAGTATTAAATTCAACGGGATTAAAGACGACTCGCAGTTCCCCTACGCATTCAACTGTGCATTTGCGTACACTCAAAGTATGAAAACAAACGGGCACCTACCCTACACCAATTATTCCTTGCTGCTCTTTTACAACGAAGAATCGGGCTGTTCATCACCGTGGACTTTCAGGGTTTGGCAATCATCACATGTTCTTTTAATTGTTGGGATCGAATCGGGGACTGTGTTTTTAACTCTATTTGGACCCATTCTATGATTTGCACTCACAATAACATTACGGATAAATTAATGGTTTAGTATCTAAATTATCAATTTCGGGTTATTTTAATACAAAATTTTCAATTTTTTTAAAATCATACATAATTTTTTGTTTTATTTTAATACTCATCTATTAAAAACTTTAGTTTTTGTTTCATTTTAGTAGACCGTTTAAATTTTGACGTTTAACATCAAATTTTGAAAAAATTAAAAGTTTAGATACTAAAACGAACTAAATTTGATAGTTTAGGTATTAAACACCTTAAATTTTTAGCGATATAGTATTAAAATGAAATAATATTTATATTTTAAGTATGATTTTTTTTTAAAAAATAAAATTTAAATATTAAAATGAATCAAAATTAATAATTTAAATACTAAATGTGTAATTTATCCTATCATTATATCACCGACTAGAAACACTCATATGAAACTCGAGCTTGAGGTCAACACCGATAATCTTGGCATGCATTTAAAGCACATTTAGGGATCACTGACTCTTATTCATTACCGTGGACTTAGGGACTTGGGTGACGAGCTTCAAGCGTTGAATAAGAATAATGGTGCGGCGGCCCTAAGTCAGGCCTAGCGGCTATTTTCCCCAAAAATCACCCATTTAATCATTATTTCCCTGTCAAGTACTGTTCGGATTTTATTTCTAGATTTAATACTCTTGTGTAGGAAGGTACGCCCCTCAATCATGTATAAAATAATTTATAAAATAATATTTAAAGATTTTAATATAATATTTTTTTCATAATTTGATAAATCACAAGGTTCTTAATATTGAGGTCGTGAGATCGAGTCTTATGGAGGGCATTTCATAATTTGGAGATCTCATACGGAAGCTGCTCTCAACCTTGTGTTGGGGGCAGCCTACTATCTTACCTCCCCCTTACCTTATTACATATGGGAACAAGGGACAACTATTTAATATAATATTTTTTTCACACACAAAAAATAATAAATAAAGTCAACTTTTTAGACAAATATCACGTTAATAAAAATTAATTACATATTAGACACAATTTTAAAAATATTTATAAAAATAATATCCGAAATTTTTATACGTTTCACAAGACGCGTTGTAGGGGGCGCGTCTTACCCATGTGGTTCCAGATCAGCATAAGACGCGGTGTAGGGGTGTGCCTTCCTGCAAATGGTGTTTGATCGGGAAATAAAATATGAACAGTGTCTGACATAAAAATAATGATTAAATGGGTGATTTTTTGGAAAAATCACCAGGCCTAGCAGCTTCCTCTGAATGGTACAAACTCCATGAGAAAATAGCTCTTTTGTATTCATTATAAACATGCAACATAGACAATAAATTGGGCACTATTTGTTTGAAAACCCCAAAAATTTATTTATTAAAATAATACTCCAAACAATATTAGTAACAAAACAATTCTTCAGACTGTCCGAAATAGTACTATTATTCTTCACTATCCACGACGATGAGTTCATGAAAAAATGAGATTAAACTCGCGTTCTTGCAAAAAATAAGATAAAATCCCGCATTTTTATAAAAAAAATTAACGCATTTATTGTTAATTTTCCTCTAAAATTAAATAAATTTATCTGAAAAATTGATAGATCTCGCGCCTATAAAACATGAGATCTATTAAAATAATTTTATAAGACGCGAAATAATCTTACGTGAATAATTTAAGATACTAAAAACAAGATCAAACCTCGAGTTTCATAGATTTATTATTAATTAAATAAATTTATCTGAAAAATTGATAGGTCTTGCGCCTATAAAGCCTGAAATATGTTAAAAGAATTTTCGAGTCCCCTACACGAAAAGGGGTACCCACAAATTATATATCCATCTCGATACTCCAAATCCGATTACGGTCATATTAGAAACAGAAAGAGGATATCAAATCCCAGGTTTTTGAGTTTCGGCAAACAGGATATAGCAAGTAATCAGGACAATAATCATCCAAGAAATAGCTGAAAGCTTGGGTAAATACCATTCCCCCAGTTCACGCCCAAAGCCACTCCATTTGACGCCTCCAAATGGAGCTTGACAGAAGCATGGCTGTGAACAATTGACCCACACGGCGCCTACCTGCAGAGCCTGCATGAAAGAAGCAGAGGTGTCAAATATCATATCACACTTTGGTTGCATGATTGCGTGATGCTTCAAGCACAGATCCTACCTTGCTTACGCGATCACATCTTTCTAGATCCTTTGATACCACGGCACCTCCCAAACCGTAACTAAATAAAATATTAGAAAGGAGTTAGTCGAGCTCTGTGATCAAAATGATGAGGCCTTTGTTGCCCGGGGAGTGGAGGGTAGGGGTTGGTTAAAAGGGTAAAGGACGGCCTAAACGAATTGTATATGTTGACTTACTGGGTATCATTTGCCAATTCAATGGCTTCGTCTTCGGTTGTAAATGTTTTGACACAAAGAACAGGTCCAAACACTTCTTCTCTCCATATTTGCATGGAGATGGTTACGTCAGTGATGATGGTTGGTTCAACGTAGTATCCTTTCTCTAAATGCTGGCAACCATTTATGAATTAGAAATGCTAAAGGGTTTTAAAAGGAGTAAAATGCCAATCATCGAGAAGCAGAGAATTATACCTTAGGACGATTCCACCATACAAAATAGTTGCTCCCTCATTCTTAGCATTTGAAATGAACTTCATTACCTTTTCATACTGCGGCAGAATTAATCAAATATTTAATATGAAACCTTA